TCCCGATGCAACCTGGGTTTGAACCTGAGGCCTCAGAGACCATAGCACTGACCACATAGCTACCACTATGTTAAAAGTGTAAAATATGTAAAAGTAGTGTAAAAATGTGTAAAAGTGTAAAGTGGTGAGGCAGGAAGAAACCAAATTTTGTCCAATTAACACCTGAAAATCAGAGGTGTATGGCTTAAACTTGAAAATTGGCACGATGGCTCAGTGGTTAGCACTGACGCCTCATAGCAAGAATGTCCTGGGTTCCATCCCCGCTACACACCTGGGGTCTTTCTGTGCGAAGTTTGCATGTTCTCCTCATGCTTGTGTGGGTTTTCTCACCGGGTACTTCGATTTTCCCCACAGCACAAAAATACGTACAATACGTTGCCTTTGGACCCAGGTAAAAGAGATCTGCGAGCTCAATGGGATTTCCTGGTTAAATAACGATAAATAATAAAAGATGCAGTGGGGAGTTTTGAGAAAACCGTGGGTTTAGCCTGAAAATTTGAACAAGCACACCTTACAGGTCCCTCCCCTTGCTCCCTGCTGTGCTACAGCTCCTCCCTCCACAGCGGAGCCTGACGTGACCACACAGGATTATCATTAGGAAAATTCAGTGTTGTATAAAGTACCACAATGTGATACTTGAGTAAAAGTACAAGTATCTTCCAAAAAAATTTCTTTGGTAAAAGTTAAAGTCTCCTTTAGGAATATTGAGTAAAGGTCTTAAAGTATCTGATATTTTTTGCACTTAATATTAAAAGTAAAAGTATTGATTTAAAATGAGCAGTTAGATTTTCTGTAATGACATTTATTAGGAGGTGACCTCCCCAAATACTGCAGAAATGACTGTTGTATTAAAATAATTAATTTATGTTAAATTTAGGATGCATTAGTCCAGCTGTTTCAGTTTATATACATATATCAAGGAGGCCCAAACCTTTTCCCCAAAATGAAAATCTATCTGAGAGCTGCGGCCAAATGCAATAATATAATTCATGAAATACAAATACTTCTTAAGTACAGTCCTTTTATTTTAATAATTATGTCCTGCTGGACTGTGACATGATTTGTGTACAAACCTATACAGTATCAGAATTTTATATATTTATACTTCTCATTCAACTACAATTAAATTCACTCTATCTAGAAGGCAAAATTTGTATGGATAATATTTATTTTTTACAAAAACAAGCTGGAATGAAAACAAGCAAAAATGAAATAAAAGTAACAACTTTCTACTTCTTGCCTTTTTTAAAAATGTAAGTAGAAAGTACATATAATTGTTGGAAAATGTAAGAAGTAGAAGTAAAAAGTAGGCTGAAAAGTAATTAGTAAAGTAAAGTACAGATATCCAAAAATTCTACTTATACAGTAACAAAGTATTTGTACTTAATCACTTTACAACTCAGGGAAAAATTGTCAGTTTTCCTGTAATGTTAGGTTGTTTTTCTGCCATCACAGCAGCAGCACACTGACAATGTTGAACTTGAACAAATGAGGAGCTTTATTTTTCCACAGATTATCTGTCTCAGATTCTACTGTCAGGACAGTGAGTTTTCCAAATATGTAAAAAAAAATACATGTTCTTTTAAAAGTTATCTACTGCAGATCTGTAATTTTTTAAGTTTTAAATTTTTTTGTAAGTATTTTTTAAATCATAACCTTTACTTTTATTTTGTAACATTACAAACAAAGTGATACTTTTTACATCTTTACTTTAAATTTAACACATCATTACACGCTATGAATTTAAATATATACCCAAACTCTTCATGAAAGGTGTTGTTTGTACACGCTTAAAAAATAGTACTTTACACATTTTCTAAAAAGAATTGTAAATGTCTTTACATTTACTCAACTCAGTTTAAAGGAACCAGTCATAACTTGGCGGCGTAAAGCCAACGCTTCATTTCTTAGACTGCGTGCAAAAATACTTTTATTTTTACTTTTACAGTTTTATGACTTTTACTACTTTCTTTATCGGTGAAATTCCTTTTTACCAAAGTCATTTTCTGATAAGGTGTTTTTACTTTTACTTAGTTATTCTATTCAGATACTTTTATCCCTCTGCTGAAAGTGATTTTTGTTTCTGTATTTCAGTGATTCTCAACCTTGACTTATGTGCAGGTGGTAGCGTTAAAACTTTCAAAGTAAAATAAAAAAAAATTATTGGTTACATTCAAATGCAGATAAATACAGATAGATGGACTTTCATTCTGCTGCAGTAAAAATAAAGATGTTACAGCAGCTATAGTCTGGATCAGTCTTGGGAAAACAAAATCCAGTCTGGTACAAAAACAAGTAAAAAAATGCAGTTATTTCTGAGAAAAAAACAAGACTTACGTATAAATGTGGCTTTGAGACCAAGACCGATCTTGAGAACTATAACTCTTATTGAATCTCTGACACAGTTTGTTTAGTTTGATGCTGTTTTTCCAACTGAAACATCAGTGTTACCACGTGAATGTGTGAGGAGCATAGATTTGTTGCTAAGTTTCATCCTGAGGGATCGGATTGCAAACAGAATCTGCTAAATGAAGGGCTGAAAGGCCTGAATGCACGCTGAAAACCTTCAGTTTGTACATTTATTCTGCCTACATGTGATAGTCTAACCGCTCGCAGTAAAATCACCTGAGATAACAAGAAACAAATGAACAGTTTTACAGGCTCTGCGCCGACTCAAAGATCAGGCACCCAAAAACGTCCACAGAAGATGGAGGCTTAGTGTGAGTGACGCTTGGAGAGACGTTTCAGGCTAAAACAAGCCCAACTCAGGCTGTGGGAGAAAAATTATATGTGCAAATAATCCGAACCAGTTCTTCAAGAGGTTGGATCAGACACCCACTCCCCCCACAAGCCCACCAATCCTCGCTGTAGCCCCTCCTCTCTGCCTCTGCAGCACCTGTTTATTGACCAAGCCCCGTCTCCAAACTCAACACCACCGCTTCCGGCTCTCCTCCTGCAAGAAGTTCCATTATCCACACATCTGATCCAGGGTCCCTCCTCACGACACCACCCTGCCTCACGGTGAACTGAGTAACTCTCATGAGAAGATACAGACACAGCTGCAGGGCCAGGTGGCACATAAAGTACTGTACAAATCAAATGTGCTGCATTGTGGAATACATCGTCAGCTTAAAGGGACAGTCTGGTCATGTTTTAACATGATGTTCTGTCAAATAGTTAATACCCTGTTAGACGAGTCATAGAGCACAATGTATGGCAAAATGGGTAAAAAGTCCTCTACCAGGATAGAGAAATCACCTTGTTTTGTTGCTTTTTTATTTGTTAGTTTTTCAGGCCTATAAATCAATAAAATGACACCAGTGTGAGAAGGCAACATGAGCACATAATAAACTTCTAGATTTTCCTGTGACAACCTTTGTTTTCTTTGTTGCTGTTTTCTTAACTGAACGTTTGTGTTAAAAAAAAAAACGTATTTTTGCGCACAACAGTGTGCTTGTGTCTTTTACTAAAGAAGCATTGGATGAATTTGGTGGAAACTTGCAGAAAGTAAAAAAATAAAAATAAAAAATTTAATTAAATATGCTGCTAAAATTTTATGTGGTAGCAGTCAAGAGTCATTCTCAACACAAAGGCCTAATCTGAATGTAACACGGAGCGATGTTAATGGGATTGTTTATGTCCTGATGCATCTCTGTAATCCAGGTAAAAAAAAAAAAAAATTGTATMGGTCTTCTGGACGGGTTCTTCTCTAATGAAACGTTTCGTCTCTCCTCCAAGAGACTTCTTCAGTCTGAGAGTTTCAGGCAAAATTCAGGCTTTTAAGCACTGCCTCCATGTGACTGATACTCACATCACTTGAGATTGTTTATATGTGTTTTCAAGGATGAACTAAATTGGCATAACCTCTGTCATATCTCAACATAAGTTGTGGATGATACTGAGGATGATGATTACATTTTCCAAACTTGTTTTCTTGTTGGACAAGTTCTGTTTCATAAACATGAAGTGCCAAAATTTAATCATTTGAAAAGAAAAACCTAAAACATTTTAAAAACACTACCTACCTCCAGAGTTGTAAAGTAACTAAGTACAAATACTTCTTTACTGTACTTAAGTAGAATTTTTGGGTATCTGTACTTTACTTCAGTAATTATTTTTCAGCCTACTTTTTACTTCTACTTCTTACATTTTCACACAGTTATCTGTACTTTTTACTCCTTACATTTTTTAAAAAGGGAAGAAGTAGAAAGTTGTTACTTTTATTTCATTTTTGCTTGTTTTCATTCCAGCTTGTTTTTGTAAAAATAAATACTATCCATATAAATTGTGCCTCCTAGATACAGTGAATTTAATTGTGGTTGAATGAGAAGTATAAATATATAAAACTCTGATACTGTATTAGTTTGTACACAAACAAATCATGTCACACTCCAGCAGGACATAACCATTAAAATAAAAGGACTGTACTTAAGAAGTATTTGTATTTTATGAATTAATATTATTACATTTGGCTGCAGCCCTCAGATAGATTTTCAATTTGGGGAAAAGGTTTGTGCAGCCTTGGTATATGAATATAAACTGAAACAGCTGGATGACTGCATCCTAAATTTAACATGAATTAATTATTTTAATACAACAGTCATTTCTACATTTTTGGGGAGGTCACCTCCTAATAGTCATTACAGAAAATCTAACTGCTCATTTTAAACCAATACTTTTACTTTTAATACTTAAGTACAAAACATATCAGATACTTTAAGACTTTTACTCAAGTAATATTCCTAAARGAGACTTTAACTTTTACCAAAGTAGTTCTTTGGTAAGATACTTGTACTTTTACTCAAGTATTACTTTGTGGTACTTTATACATCACTGCCTACCTCAAACAAGACTGTTTTACCTGCTTATTTATCTACCCATTCCTGCATTATTTCTACTTTATTCGGTGCGTGGTCTGCAGCGTCCTCTAGTGGTGAAAGGCGGCGGTAACGTGGTCACGCCAGCGTCGCGTGACGTCTGGAGTCTTGACAGGAAGAAGGTCGGCAGTTCCAACATGGCCGCCGCCTGTTAAGTTTTGAAGCAGTGGAACAGCCCGAGTTCGTGGTGAAGAGGGGTTTACGTTGTTTGTCCAACATGGCCCAGTGCGTCCAGTCCGTACAGGAGTTCATCCAGGACTCGTTTGTCCCGATGGTAGCCGTGTTAAGCAGTCAAGAAGCGGAGACAGTGTCCCGCAAGAACAACCTGAATTTTGCTGAGCTGCTGAGGCCTTTCTGCAGACTGACATCTGAAGGTATGAACGACTGCTCACTTTCAATTCCCTTTCTGACAGAGTCACAGCACAACCTTTGTTCAGTGGTATGACTTTACCCGAACCAAGCTGGTTCTGATGTTTACTGTTTGTTTGCTAGCAGGCATTAGCACAACCGGCTATTTATTGACAATTATACCGTAATATATGGGTTACAGGAGCAGGTAATTACCTCCACCTCCTAAGGTGAAGGCGGACGATAATGTTTCTGCTCGTAGGTTTTGTATGTGTGTCTGTTGGTCATTAAAATACCTCACACAACTTGCAGAAAGCAACCTAATCACTGGTTGTACCTCTTCAGTAGAATAACTTCGGCAGCTAACAACAGAACATCTTTTTATCTGAATTCCAGTTTTATTTATGAAATATATTGAAAAATATGAAGACCTGTATGAATTACTAAGGGAATTATCCACCAATGCATGCTAATCCTAAAATATATTATCCCTTGTTAATTGTTTATTTCTTTACATTTTTTTGTTCAGTTATTATTATTTTTTTCTGTATTGTATTTATTTAC